TTTTTTTTTTTTTTTTTTTTTTTTTTTTCTGAGACAGGGTTTCTCTGTGTAGCCCTGGCTGTCCTGGAACTTGTTCTTTAGGACAGGCTGGTCTCGAACTCACAGAGATCTACCTGACTCTACCTCCCAACTGCTGGGATTAAAGGAGTGTGCTGCCACTGCCTGGCCCCACGTCAGGTTTTGATTCAGAAGTTACCTGGGCAAATAGGGCCCCTGAAATAGGGGGTCCCCTGCTACCCTCTCCTTTAAGAAGCCAATTGTGCTTAAATCTGTCTCTCCCTTTCTGACATGATTAAAACTCTTTCCATCTTTTCTGCTTTCCCACCCCATCAAGATCCTGTCAATCACTAGCCCATCCCTTTAACGTCTGCATGCGTGTGGTGTTTGCTGACTCAGTCCCTTATCTTCCTCTCCCTCCTCAACCCACCACATTTGGGTGCCAACCTCCTATGACTCCGGACAAGGTCTGTGACATCACATACTCATTCATGGGGGAGGCCCCAGGATAGCATTGCAATCTGTCATGGACCACTCCCTCCTATCGGAAACTTCCTTTACAGCCTCCTCTCTCCTGCCTCACTTCCTCTCCAGCTAATCCTCACACCATTCCTACAGGGCCTCTCATGACCCTTTATTGTGGGCCATGAGCTTAAGGACTCTGGCCTGGCCTTCCTTCAATCCCATCTTGCCTATTCTAGAGTGATCCTAGTTTTTTGGTTCCAGCTAAGTGAGCCCCCATACCCTTCTTCAGTCTCCAGGATATTCCCCTAAAGTGTCTCATGGGATTATTCTTGAGCATCCCCAACCTCAGTCTCTTCACAGGCATTTGAGCCTCCTCCCGGGCAGCAGGCTTGCCTCATTGTCCCCTTGCTTCATGGCTAAGACCTCATGTCATGCTTGCATCTTTGCTGTTATAATCCAATCCCTACCTTAACAGTTTTGCTTTTTGCAACCTCACTGATGACGCTGGGATGCTCCCTACCCTCATGGCTTCTGTGCCAGCCCAGACCCTGCCTTAGCTTGTCCTCAAGCCTCTCCTTTGCCTCCAGGGTTCCAGTCCATCCCCAATGCCTTAGCATGCTCTTCAGTGCTCTGACCCTCATGAGGATCTAGCTGCCACTACATCTGTAGCTCAGATTATAATCCAGGCCCCTCAGACCAGTCCCCCGCTTTATGAAAGGTGTTCTGGTATGGAAGAAGCCTTGGTCACTACTTACTGTCACGGTTCTCTGCCTAGCAAGTTTGTGTTCCTTTTTTTTTTTTTTAATTACATGGTTTATTTATTTTCTGCATGATGTCTGTGTACCATATTCATACCTGGTGCCTTTGGAGGCCCTGGGATTGGATTACATTTATGAACTCCCATATGGGTGCCATGAATTGAATGTGGGTCCTCTGGAAGAGCATTTAGTGCTCTTAGCCGCTGAGCCAGCTCTCCAACCCTGTGCTCTCTTAAGGTCAAGGCCATCTCTTCTGTGAAACAGAACTCCCTGAACCTTGGATCAGTAGCCCCAGGGGCAAGCCTTGCGTTTAAATTGTCTCGCTAAACTCAGAGCCTACCAGGGGCTAGGCCTCCGAGGCTTTAAGGATGATCCCAGGCATCTTAGGTGGTTTTGGTTGTGAGCAAAGCTAGAGCAGGGTTCCACATATTCTAGTTTCCCCTTTCTCAGCTGCTTGAATCCAGTGCTGCCACCTGTTGGCCAAACACATTTCCTGTTTTTAAAAAAGGCCTAACTAATTAAATAACTTTTATTTACAAAAGACAAAACCGACTAGCCTTGGCCGGTCACAGCAGCAGTAGAAGGCAGTGGTGGAGTGAATTGAAGGTCCAGCTGTCTCGGTAACAGGTGTGTGTGCATCCCCCTCCCCCAGGCTCTGCTTTCGATTCCTGCCCCGCCCCACTTACGGTCCCAAATTATAAGGCACAGCCCACCCCTTCCCGCCCAGTCCGACCGAGGGGCCGGATGGACCTAGAGCCGGTCCCGGAGTGCACTCATCACGGAGGCCCGCACAGATAGGAGCAAGAGGTCTTTTAGTGCCGCCCCCCGCCGTCCCCAGCTCCGGCTCAGATCAGCGGTGTGGATGGCGGGGTGAGGACGAGCCGTATGCGCTGCACGCACAGCTCCGCGGCCTGCCGGGTCTCGCGGCACAGCGCCGCCAGGCTCAGGAAGCCATGCGGCAGGTCCTCTACCACATTCAGCGTCACGGGCTGGCCCAGATCGCGCAGTCGCCGCGCGAACATGACAGAGTCATCCAGCATGGGGTCCAAAGCGCACGCCTGGAGAGAGTGGGGGTCAGGGTAGGAGGGAGGGGAAAGCACGTGGACACGGATGTAGAGGTGGACAGAGACGGAGAAAAGGAGGAGTTGGGGAGAGAGTGGGCGGAAGGAACAGGTGGAGGCGTGGGAAAGAAGAGGAAATGAGGTTAACTCAATCTTTACCCAGACCTGCCCCTATCGTTTCCACCCGCCCAAGCCTCCTGCCCAATAACAGTGCAAGACAGCAGTCTACCTGGCCTGGCTAACTAGCTACGCGGCACTTGTAGCTGTTTTCCCAGGGCGCCCATGCCCCAACCCACCGTCCTCCAGCACCCCCTCCCCCCGTGCTCTCACCACCATGTGCACAGGAGGCAGGGTCTTCAGCATGCTGTCAGGGGCCAGCAGAGGAGACATGAAGGGGTTCTTGACGATGGGTGACGAGTAGAGGGGCATGCGGAGGATACCCTGGCTTGAGCGTCTGGGGCGGAAACCCTCAGGGAACGGAGCGCGCACGCGGGGGCCTCTGTCCATGGTGCCCACATCATCTTTGGCTTCGGCCTCTTCCTGGGAATTCTCAGGTCGCAGAAAAAAGTTGACATCGGAGGGTGTGGAGGGGCCAAGTGTCTCCATTGACAGTGACATCTCGGGGGTGTCTGACGTCTCTGAATTGCCCTTAAAGCTCAAGTCCGTTATCGTCAGAGTTTTCAGGCTATCAGTGTTCAGCAAGCCCTCTGGCTGGGCCAGAGCTGCCTCAGACACACTCCTGCGCATTGACTCCTGGGGACGCACAGGCTCTACAGGAAGGGCAAAAACAGGTTGCCTTAGGCCAGAAGATAAGCCTGGCTGTGAGCAGGGTGTGCAGATGGCAGCATGGTAGGTCACTATCCAGGGAGGTCCAGGACATAACTCCTTTCCCAGACCCAAGGGTTGGGTTGGGTTGGGTTGGAATGTTTCTGTGTCCAGGATTGCATTTGGATGGCTGGTAGTCTGGGAGGTGGGGCTATATTGTAGGGCAGATTGTGCATGAATAAAGATTGGGAAGTGCAAATCAGTTGACTGCTGGGAGCGTCCATCTTTCCCTCTGTATCAATGATATATAGTCCTTAGCTCATATATTGTAAGAATCTAAGAACTCAGAGGGATAGACAGGATTAACTGTCATTTCCTCTGGAGGGATTATGATGTATCAGAATTTTTTTGTGTTTGCACTGTAGGGGACAGAGTCCACAGTCTTACACATGCCAGCTTCCAGCCCCTCACAGGTGGCTTCTAGGCTGCACTGCAGAGCTGGTATTTACATGACTGCCAAGCAGCCCCACTGTAGCTACCTCTGGGCTCTCCAGGAGGAGGCTCAGCCAGCCTTTCATGACCACTTGACCAAGGGGTATGCATGAGCTCACACAGCTGGACAGGGATTCTGCTCATAGGCAGCTACAGTCTGTGGGGTGTGTTACTCTCCCAGACAGCTTGCATTTATAGCCACACGAATCTGCTCTCCAAAATGTCCTTCATTGTCTCCATTTTATTCCTGTTCACTGAGCGGACGAGTGCCCCGATGATGTGTATGTCTAGCCCACCTGGCATGGATATGCTGGAGGCACTGGGCCTCCAGTCTGTCAATTTAATTGGCTCTTCACTGTTTTAGGGCTACTCTGTAGCTCCAGCTTGACCAAAATGGAATCCTTCTGCCTCAGGGGATTACTCATTCATGGTCCTACCTTTCAGTTTCTACAACTTGCCTTTATCAATCTATGAGGGCAAAGTGCAGACCAATGTAAGATAATTACTTAGGTTCTGTGTGATCTAGAGTCACTGGGACAACATTGGAGGTATAGGACACAGGACTCCAGTGCCTTCTGAGAGTACTTCTGTGCCAGGCACTGTGCTGGTATTTGACACAATGGGTGTAGTAGTTCTCACTATGACCCAACAAGGCAGGCACTCATATCCATTTCACAGAGGATAAACTAAGGGTTATAGATGCTGATATCTGTACACAAACTCAGCAGTCAGTGAGGACGGAGTAAGAAGCTGGGTAGGTGTCATCCAGGGTCATCTTTTGGGGACCTTTCTCCTACAGAGAACCTCACCTCCAGGGCTCAATGGTCCCTTGTCGCAAATTCAGTTTCCTTTTAATTTGTGTGTCTGTGTCTGCATTTATCTGAAGATTCTAAAATTAGAACGTTAAAGTAAAACACACGTGAACTACATAATCCCCTTTGTGTGTGTGCACGAGTGTGCCAGGTGTTGTTCTTCATGCACCACCCACCTTGGGTTTGTCTTTAACTTTTATTACATTTTTGTTTGTGTGTGGGTGTGCGTGTGTGACAGTAAAAGGACGACTTATAGGAACAGGTCCTTGCTTTCTTTCCATTATGTGAATCCTGGGGACTGACCTCAGGTCAGGCTTGGCAGCAGACATTTGGCCATGTCACCAGTCCCCACCTTGTTTTTTGAGTCAGGGTCTCTCAGTGACCCCAGAGCTCACTGCTTTTGCCCAGACCACCTGACTCTGTCCACCTGGTGCTGAGGTTATGGTGTGTACCACCACACCTGCCTATTATATGGGTTTTGGGGATCCAAACTCAGGTTTTCATACTTCACACCTCCTGAACCATTTCCACAGTGCCCTGAAGACTGACTTTACTGTTGCTGTTGAGTCAGGATATCCCTCTATGGATTTGTCTAGCCTAGAATGGGAACTTGCTATGTAAACCAGGCTGGTCTCGAACTCACAGAGATCTTGTTTCTGCTTCCCAAGTGCTGGGATTAAAGGTGTGCACCACTAAATCTGGCCATGACAGAAGTCCCCCCCCCCCAACCTTTGGAATTGTGAGATCCCAGTAAGTCTTGGAATTTCCAGGACGGCATCTGCTGGAGGAAAATGGAGGGCTTGGCTTGTTGTAGGGCCAAGGATAGCGTCAGCCAGGAAAGGCATCTGTAGCTTCATGTGTCCAGGGGCTTATGCTATGTCAAGATGTCTGTCTAGGCTGTCCTGGTTAAGTGCCTTTGAACAAACTCCAACTCACCTGCTGTAGGAGCTGAGGTCTTTTGGGGCTTGCGTCCGCTTAGCTCCAGGAAAGAGTTGAGCCACGAGGAGGCACCCAGGCGGAGGTCTCTGAAGAATAGGGATGTGTCTCTCTGTACCAGCCCCATCACGCCCAGTGCCTTCTGGTCTGAGTCAGAGTGGTCCTCTGTCTCTGTCCCTGAAGAATGCATGTGGGAGGCTGAATTGGTCTCTCTTTAGGTGCAGTTCTAACACCCATAACTTGGAGTTTCTAAGGCATTCAGGCACCCAACTGCCATGCTGAGGGCATGGGCCTTACCTGAATAGGCACTGACACACTTAGAGAGTACACTCAATGGTAGAAGTGGGTCCATGAGGCTCAGAAGACGAGAGGGAGAGACAGAGGGCTGCAGGGTGGTGACTGGGTAGGCTGCCATGATGCCATCTGGCACCCTCACTCCGTAGGCTGCTGCTCGAAGGGACACAGTGATGCAGAGGTTCCCGCCTGCACTATCCCCTGCAAGGCATATCCGCTCTCCTGTTGACCCTAGTTGTGGGAAGAAGAGTCCAGTCATAGCCTGGCATGACCTAGGAGAACTGGGCTCTCAGGTGAGGGTAAGCAATTATTAATATCAAGCAGAACACTGTTCAGTTACTGACAAGAAGGCATGGATTTGGACCCCATGTATTAGTCCAGTGGTCAGAGGACAGAGACAAAGGGCTGGGCTGGAGAGTCTGGGAAGCAGAAGCAAGGGCAGGTAGTGGGAAAGGGGAGCTCAGAGTAGTTTTCCCAAGATAGGGACATCAGAAGTTGGGCAACTGAAGGTCAGGTTTCAGGCTGGGTACAGCCCTGCCTGCCCTGCTCTGTGCCTTGGTGTCTTCCTGAGATGTTGGCATCCAAAAGGGAGGTGTGAGGACCTGGAAATAGGTGGGCATGCGAGCCAGCAGGCTGCCAGTGCAGGAGATCAGGAGGTGGGCAGCTGGGGAGGTAAGGAGAGAAGGGAGAGGACAGACCAGAAGTGAAGGCTGGAATAAGGAAGCAGGAGGCAGAGATGACATGGCCAAGATGGAAGATGGGCAGCAATGGGGTTATCCCACAGCAGGAAAGAGGCAGAAGAGAGAAGGTAGGCTGGGGAGAGGTGAGGCTGGGGCTTGAGAACTTAGGGACTTAGTGCCTTTGCAGGCCAGGCCAGGGCAAGGACAGAAGTGGTGAATGTGGATCTGTGAAAGTAGGGACCTGGGTCTCACCGAGCAGGTCACAGTGCTTGACAGCCCAGCAGTAGGCAAAAAAACACTCCTCCAGCGCTCTGGGGAAGGGGGCCTCAGGGGCCAGGGAGTAGTCGATGGAGATGATGGGAACTCCTAGCTCCTGGGCCCAGGTCTTGAGGTAGGGCTCATGTGACTTGGAGGTCTGTGCCACAAAGCCGCCACCATGGATGTGGATTACTAGGGCCCGTGAGCGGGGTGCCTGCTGGGGTCGTGGGCGCAGTTCCAGGCGTGGGCCCTCAGATTTCACCAGGCTGTTGAGTGCCTTGCTGTCCTGGTGGTGAGGACAGAGGGTGGTCTGTCAGGACCCTGTCCCCTCTGGGGGTAGGCTTGGGGCTTCAGGGTGCTGGGCTGGCGCTGCCATTCTCTGGGGCTTACCTGTCCTTCACGCAGATCATAGGAGATGAGCCTGGCTAGCACAGGCCCTGGGCCTGTGTGTGCCAAGGGAGGTGAGATGGTAACTGTGAGCTTGGGGTCAGAGGTTAGTGGCATCTCAAAGGCCTCGGGTGGTAGGCTGAGCAGGCGGCTTACCCTCACAGTGGTTGATGCCATGTTAGCCAGGGACTGGGGAGGAAACAGAAGGGATGCTAAGGAAGGGTTAAGAGGGTAGCAGGGGCACATACCACATTCTTCTTCCCAACCCAGTCTTTCCCCATATGCGCTATCCTTGGGCAGTGGCCCTGTAGTGACTGGTTGTGGCATTGCTGGATGTCTGGGACTCAGAATCTCCATCTGTGAGCATGCTGGGGAGCTCTCCCCTGCCCCCGAGCTCACCGACAACACCTCGATCTCAGTGATGTTCCAGAAGGCTTTCCAGAAGTGCACGTCCAGGTTCTGAATGATCCGTTCAAACTCAGCCCCACGCAACTCTGGGTCTATGGCGAATCGGCCACCGGTGAAGAGGGAACTGGCAGTCACACCTGGGGGTCAGGAAGGGTGTCAAGGAGTCCTGGTAGAGATCAGGCTGCTGGGTTGGGTTAGGAAAGGGGGACTGGAGAGGATGTGGATAGGGCTCAGCCACCACTCACTGAGGCCTGTCTCGTTGCGTTTGTAGTGTTCCCCGAAGGACACCAGTCCGATGGAGAGGGTCTGCAGGAACGGCCGGATGGCAGGCGTGAACTGTGAAGGGATGCCTCTGTCACCCAACCACCCAGGAGATGGATGAGGATGGGACACAAGATGGGACAGAGAGAGGAGTAGGCACATACATTTAGTCAGCTTTTAATGAGCTCGTACGGTGTGCCGTGGGCATCACCCTGGGCCCTTTCATGAACCTGGCGTCCTCAAAGTGAAAGGAGATGATGAAGAAATAAAAACATGTGCAGGGTAATGTCTAAACGAACTAATGATATGGAGAAAGGTGCTGAGGATGGGCCAGGCTACTTGTGCAGGGCTGCGAGTAGGGGTCTGGATGAGGAGAGGGCTGTTCTCAGGAAGCTCAAGATGCAATGCTGCACATGGGCGGCAAGGGAAAGGAGGCATACTGAAGGGGAGCAGGGAACAGAGGACACAGTGCTGTGCCTGGAGCAGAGCGGGCCAGGGAACAAGAGCAAGGGAGCTCCCAGAGGCCAAGAAGGCTCTTTTAGGGCCCAGGCTGAGGGACTGGGTTTCATTCTGAGCATTTGGAGGGCTGTGAACTGGGGAGTAAAGCACACGGGAACTTCCTGAAGTCAAAAAGAAGAGAGGGGTGAGGCAGACAGTTGGGACTGGGCATGGGGCAACTGAAATCCAGAAATGGGAAAATGATCCAAGACAGGTAGAGAGAACCTGGGGAGATCAGCTGAGGCCTAGACAAGGGATAGATGGCTGTCAGGAAAGACTGGGGGAGACACATGGCAGGTGGCAGAGAGGGAACATATAAGAAGACAGTGAGAGCAGGAGAGCCCACTCAGCCTTAGGAGGCCAAGGCAAAGAGTTAGCTGAGTCCTCATTTACTCGGGAAAACTATCGCACAGCATGTTGGGCTTTTGGGAGGAGCAGGGACTCAGCAGCATCTGACATCTTGGACCTCCGCCTTCCTGGAAGCTGACATTTTAGTCTTGTGTCCTAGGTCCTCAGAAGCTGGCAGGTGCCCCAGCCATGCTCCTGGCCAGGGACCCAGTAGGCCAAAGAGCACAGGAGCTCCTGGCCTTTGTAGCTGGGACACTGATTCAGGCAGCTTGGAATTTCTTTCTTTCCAGTGTGGATGCCAGGGCATGAAGACAGGGAGATGGCTGCCTCGGCTGGCCAGATTGGTATTTGTGGGTTTGGTTTGGTGAGAGGGGAAGAGTCCTAGGAATAATTCTATTGGGTTGCTCAGAATCAGGAAGCCTGGAATAGTAGACAGGGACAGGGAAGCCGAAACAATGGTGGACTCATCTTTCAGGGAAGTGAGAGGAGGCCCCAAGAGGGCAGTGAGGACTGAAGCGTCACACGGCTTCTGGAGTAAAGGCTGAGGTTCCTTGATACAGATGGTTGGGGCTGCCTGGAGCTAGCATGACCCCGGGATAGGGCCAATTTGGGCTTCTGTTCCAATTTTAGTTTTCTAGTCCCCAAATCATTTGTTTGTTTGTGAGACAGGGCCTTTCTACATAGCCGTGGCTTGCCTGGAACATATGATGTAGCTCAGGCTAGCCTCTATCTCTAAATAATTCTCTTGCCTCAGCCTCTTGAGGGTATTGGACTGCCTCACTTTCCATGTGGTGATAGGCTGCATCTCTCTGAGGTGATTTGGGATGGGCAAAAGGCGGAAGAAGGCCCTCAGCTAGGGTCAGGGAAGAGCTGAACCACAACCAGGTCTTCCTTGTCACCAACTCTGATGGGTGTGTTGCTCCTGTCCTGAAGGCTGCCTAGAACTCATGTGGTTTTATAGGCGCCAATCTGACATCTGTGGGCTGCGGCTTTCTTCTATTAGGTCCAGAATCCTAGTGCACATGACAGGGGGTACAGTCACACAGAATGGACCTCTGAGATCAATACTGATTACCCTCCTAGGGGTCACAGACTCAAATGAACTTCAAGGGCTACAGGAGAGTGATGGGGCTAGGGATACAGCTCAACGGCATGCTGGCCTAACACGCGAGGCTCTAAGTTCAATCTGTAATACTTGAAGGAAAAAGAGCAAATGAAACCCTCCATTTTGCTGGGTTGAAGCTCTGACCTCGTGTGTGTCTGACAAGTGTTCTACTACCAAACTGCAGCCCCAGCCTCGTGTGTGTCTGACAAGTGTTCTACTACCAAACTGCAGCCCCAGCCTTCCTGTTACTTTTGAGATAGGGTTTCCCTAAGTTATCAAGGTTGGCTTTCATCTCACTCTGTAAGTTCATCCAGGCCTTGGGCTTACAATCCTCCTGCCTCAGCTTCCTGAGTACCTGGAATGTAACAGGCCTGAGTTACCAGGTCCAGCTGATGAAGAGGTTTTTGATACATGGGGCATCTAGTCGTGGTCCATGAGCTGGAGACCTCCAGAGTTCAGCTACGAGCTCCTGCCAACTCTCCCTGCCAATCTGTGGTCTGATCCCCGAATCCAGCAATTCTCATCATTGTGACTCTACTTCAAGGACAGTTTCCAGCCACCACTGCCTTCACTGTGAATTCGGAATGGCATGGGGCAAGGGACTCACCTGGAAGCCCAGGCAGCGGCCATAGAAACAACCTTTATGCAGCGTGACATACTCTTGCAGGAAGTCAGCAGTGAGTCCTTCATCACCCTCAAAGAAGAGCACCCCTGGTCGGTTGATAGCCAGCAGGCGCTGGGCATAGTAGGACAGGGCACGGAGCTGGGTAAGAGCAGCCAGGTAGGCCTCCATTTCTGCTAGGTTGTGGCTGGCACGGAAAAAGATACTTCGGCGGTTGGAGGCCACATAGCGGGATTTGTGTAGTAGGTGTGCTAGGCAGCAACGAGCTGTGTGCACCAAGCTTCGGTATCCATTGGCTGGTGTCTCTGTGTCCAGGTCAAAATGGTGTGCCACACCCAGCAGCTGGCCTAGGGTTGGCTCCAGTCCCAGGGCCTGTTCTCGAACACCTGCAAAGACATTGGACAGCCGCCGAGCTGTCTCTCCGGGGCCCTGGCTTGAGAAGAAGGCCATGTTGTCTTCTGCGAGTGTCACCAGCGACTGTGTCATTGTGCGCAGATCCATGCTGTGTGAGAACGCTGAGGCTGTGGGAAGATGGGAATGTCTGCTGTTACCCTTGCTCTCTCAGGCCCAGGATTCCAGGCCCTAACTTTCTTCCCTCAGGCCCAAGGTTTGAATAACCTAGGACCATCCTTGCTTAGATCCAGGAGTGCCAAACAGTAGCCCCTCCTTCCTGAGATTTAGGGGTCTATCCCAAACCTCCTGGAGATTCAGGGGCCTTCCATTATCTTCTCTCCCACACCTAGGATTTTTATCCCCTTGTCTTCTGGAAGCCTGGGGCCTCATCCTCTTCCTGCCTAGCAGCTGGGAGTTGGAGCTCTCAGACTTTCCCTTCATATGGAGCAGGTCCCTTTTCTATCTCCTCCGTCCTGGATCTAGGAGTCCACTCTCCTGAGCCCCAAAGGGCCTGGATCACCAGTGCTGCTCTCTAGCCCAGAAGCTGGCCCACCCTCTTCCTTCTTCCTTCCAGGTATTCAAGGGTGAACTTTATCTCTGTTTACTCTCTTTGAACTTGTCCTTGTTCTGGGAAATCTGGATGCCCAACAGTTCCTTTCCTCAAGACCCATGTGTTCAAGTCCCATCCCAAGTTTCCTTCTCAGTCTCCTGGTGTTGCCCACAAGCCCTTCCCTTCTAACAGTGGTAGGAAACATTAATCCCCCAGTCTGGCCATTACCACCTCCTAGGACTCCGGCCACACCTAGCCCTCCTTCTGAGCCCCATCTGTAATTTCAACGTTTCTGCCGCACTCCAGCCTTCCTGCAGAATCCCCTCCAAACTCCAGCTCCTTGTTTCTCTGTGGATTCCCAAACTCAGCATCCCTTCTTTTGATGGTCGCCTGGCTTTCAGCCTTGCCCAACTGCCTTAGACTACATTGTTCCACTCTCCTGCCTGAAACAGCAGTTCAAATAGCCAACACTGATCACTACTAGCCAAGCCCATGCTAAAGTTTGATTCCCAAAGACCCAGAGCGTCTTGGTTTAGATCTCTATTACTGTCAGCCCTCTTTTATAGGAGGAGAAGTTGAGACTCTGTAAGAAGCTGGAGGTTGTACAGATAATGGCAGAGCTTATTTAAGTTCCGATTTCTAGGTTCAGAGTTTTTACATACATAGCGCTCCTCCTAGGACTCTCAAATCTCAACTTCTGTCTGTCCCTCAAACCCAGCTCCATGCTTCGCTCTGCTTCCCACATTCAGGGTCCTCTGTGATCTTCCTCCGGAACCCGTGTTCTCCTTAGGCATCCCTGTTATTTAGCATATCTTGGATAAGTTGCCCTTGACTGTTTAGCAGGGGACATTATAACCTTCCCAAGCGATTCTTTCCCTCCAGAAGCCTAGGGCCCTGTCTGGCTCCTGGGTTTGCAACCCCTTGTTTCCCTAGAAGACAGTGTCTCCTCTCCCTTTCAGACCTTGGCTTCTGGTGGCAGCAGCCATTTCTGTCTCTCAGCTGGCCCTGCACTCACCCCTCCCTGGCCTCTTCGGACTGGAGCTCCCCAAGCTGTCAAGGCAGGTCTGTGGCTAGTGCCAGTGGCAGCCCGGGGCGATAAACTGGGGGGAGGGGCTAGTTTGGTCAGGGTGTGGCTATTTGATTCACCTCCCATCCAGAATGGATAGTGAGAACCACATGTTGTAAACAGAGTCCAGAATCCAACTCCTAACCCCTCCTATCTGCTTGCTACGCCAGCTCAAGGAGAGTCCTCCTGCCAGGGTCGTCTTCCTTAGAACCTTGAAGTCCTTCCCCACCCAGCCCCTCCTTGCTTAGACCCAGGAGCTCATGCCCTAGCACCTCCTTGCTGAGTCAGGCCTAGTCCCCTAGCCTCTCCTTCCTCGGACTCCCTCATCCAGTCCCAGTCTTCTCCCCTAGGACCCAGGAGTCCCAGCCTTTGTCCTGGTCCTGAACACACTGTCCCCTCTCACCCAGCCAAGCTGCCCTCCCTCTTCCCCAAGTGGATTCAGGGAGCCAAAGGCTCAGTGATGTCAGTTCCCACCCCCTAGACTGGCCCTGGCACAGATGTCCCCAGCTGTTAGGAAAAAAGGAGGGAGGACAAAAGCCGATTAAGGGCAATACCAAACTCAGCCAGGGGCCAGGGGCACAGGCCCTACTGTGTGGTTTCCTTCCTGGAATCCTCGGTTTACCTTCTAACTTCCACAGCCCGCGGTGCTGTGACAGTCAGATCCCTGTTACTTATGGGGAAACCAAGGCTCAGGTACTTTCCCAGGGTCTTCCACATGTTCCTTGCCCAGCCAGCTTTCTCACCCTCAGGCCTCAACTGGAGGTGGTACCTACCTTGTTCTCCCCATCTCTAAAGCCCACCCTCACTTACCCCTTACGGCTTGTTTCTGCCCTAGTATGTACATCACCCCTTCACTTGTTCTCATGTTGTCTCCTCTGGGATATACACAGATTTTTATGGAGGCACAAAGCTCATAAAGTGGACTGTGACTATTTAGAAAGAACACAAAATTACAAATAAAAACCGGTGTGGGGCTTTTGAAAGAGCCTGTGGCAAATGAGAGACCCTGAGGCTTCAGCAACATTTGTCTGGCTGTGGGTGAGTCCTCAGTCTGTCCCTGGATTGTCATCTTGATGAAGGGAGAGGGTGGCCCCAAGGCCTAGCACACACAAGCAAATATGTGAAGGGAAGAGTGAGGGCCAAAGGCAATAGCTGGGAACTTGGGAGAGAGCTGTGCCTTCCAAGGACCAGCAAACAGGTAGACAAATGGACCAGAGCTGCGGGGGCCAGAAAAACTTAGCAGCAGTTACAGTCAGATACTGGTCTAGGTCAGTTGCTGGGTTAGTGTGACTTCCCCATCTGGAAGCTGGGCCAGTATGCCCAGCAGGGTGAGTGGACTGCTTCATGAACAGTACCTCATTGGGCTTCCCGCCCCACTTCCTCCTGAGAGTGGAACCCAGGTACTGCCATGTGCTAAGCACGTGCTCCCAGCCCAGGAGGCATTGCATGTGCATGCATATGTTGTTCTGTGGGCTTACTCCTCAGCCTCACTGTGATGGTGTGTTGGCTCTCTCATTGCAGCCTTGTCACTACCCTAATACAGTGCATGACTTTTTTTTTTTTTTTTTTTTTTTTTTTGCGCATGACTTCTTAATCATAGTCTTTGCTTTGTCATCCCATGAGCTTCTAGGCACCCGGAGTTCAGGGCCTTGTCTGTTGTGTTCAGCTCTTAGCCAGGGCAATTTCCCACTGTCTAAGCCTAGCTTCATCTGCTCCCACACTGGGTACCTTGTATCTGCCACAAGTCCCTCTGCTATGACTGCCCTCCCACCCCGACACATAGGGCCGTGGGGTTGGAATACTTTTGGAAGAACACGTTTGGAAGAACAAGAGACTTGGATGAAGCAGTAGGGAAGGGCCAGATCCCCAAGCCCTGTGACTTCAGGCCATGCTCTTTGCCTCACTCAGGGTAGCTCCCTGAAGACTGAGCTGACTAGGGCCAGGAAGAAGGGACAGAATCCCAGGCAAGAGGGCACTGGGGTAAGGGCATACCCAATGGGGCCATGGGTGAGCATAACAGGAATGGGGCAAAAGGTAGGGCTGAGGGGGGCATGATAGTAGGGGAAGGGGTACCTAGACAACTAGGCCCCAGCCCTTTGCCCTGGGAGATGTTTTTCCCCTTTGGTTCTGGGAATCAAACTTGTACATGCTAGACCAATGTTCTGCCACTGAAGCATGCTCCCAGCTCCTCCAGCCCTTTGCCCTGAGAAGCCACTTGTCAGCTGTATCAGGCTTGGACTTTGGTTCCTGGGGATGTACCAGGGCAATATACTTTCATGTTTTTTGATATGTCTAAGGGTATGTGTGTTTTATGCAAGTGTCATGACCTATGCGTGTTTATTAGCCTGTGGGTGTATGCTTTTGTCTTAGAGTCTCAGTTTGTATGGAGATGTGTTCATGTTTTTATGAATCCATATGTTGGGATGTAGCTCAGTTGGTGGAATGCTTGCCTACCTTGTACAAAACCTGGATTTGGTCCCCAGTATCATACAGCCTGAGTGTGGGGGTGCATACTTGTAATCCCAGCTCTATGGAGGTAGAGATAAGAGGATCTGATGTTCAAGGTTATCTTGGACTATGTAGTGAGTTCAAAGCTAGCCTGAGATGTATATGACACCCTGCCTCCAAAACAAAATAGGTAAAGAATAAAAACAATAAAAGGAATCTATATTCATGTTTGGGTGAGTCATGGTATCTATGTGTGCTGAGAACAGAACTCACCATTTGCTCACACAGAGACTTAAGGAGTTATCTTGCCAGTTTCACTCACCCTATCCCCATCTAAGCTAAGCTATCACCCAGTCCTGTCCACCTATGTCTTAGGAACCTTGGAACTTGGCATGTGCCTACCTCCCCTGCTGCACTGTAACATGCTCACCTGGCATGTGCCCACCTCCCCTGCCTCCCCCTGCTGCACTGTAACACGCTCACCTGGCATGTGCCCACCTCCTGTCTCCCCCAACCCCCAGCACTGTAACATGCTCACTTGGATGAGTGTGACACTCTCTGTGTGCCTCCAATTTAAGTCTGTTTCCTGAAAAGCATCCAGAGAGTCTTTTGAAAACATAAATCTGATCACTTCCTTCCAGCCCTTCAATGCTTCCCTGCCTTGATAAAGTCTCAATCTTGGACATGGCCTCCCAACCCAACCTATAGCCCATCCGCCTGCCCCAGGTTCCTGTGGCCTGTCTCCCTCCAACCAGGAGCTGTCTCTGCACTGTCATGTGGTGCTCCTTCCAACATTAAGGTTTTTGTGTGTGCTTGTTTTGTTTTTTGAGGCAGGGTTTCTCTGTGTAATCTTACTGTCCTGGAACTGGCTCTGTAGGCAAGGCTGGCCTTGAACTCACAGAGATCCTCCTGCCTCTGCCTTCCTTGCCACCACTGCCAGGCTAGAGTCAAGGTTTTTTGCTCATGCTGCTCTCTGCTTCCCCTGCCTCCTGTGTTCAGCAGTTAATGACTGCCCATCCATGAGTCTGAAGTCACCTCCTTGAAAAAGCTTCCTGTGGTCATTTTCTCAGGGTTTTTTTCCTTTTTGAAGACAGGATACATTTTCTCATGTATTCCTGGCTGGCCTCAGACTGACTATGCAGTCAAGGATGACCTTAAACTTCTTTCTGATCCTCCCGCCTCCACCAATCTACTTCTGAATCATGCGCACATGTCACCAGGCCTAATTGATGTGGTCCTGGTCTCCTACAGACCCTGCGGCTTTGTGCATGCTGGACAAGCACTCTATTAACTCAGCTATGTCCTAGCTCCAGGATTTCCCTTTTACTGGATTCATCACACTGACTTGTTTACAGCAGACTTTTAAAATGGGTGGGTGGGAGAGGGGTTGAGTCTCACTCTGAAGTCCTGACTGGCCTGCAACTCACTACATAGTCTAGGCTTGCCTTGAACTAATGGTGATCCTCCTGACTCAGAGTCCCAAGTACTGGGATCAGAGGTATGGGCCACAGCAATAGTCTTATTAATATCTGTGTCCTGAGATCTACCGAGTCTGTTCTACTAGTCACAGGAAGCCTAGTTGTTGAGCCAATGTCTGGAGGCTAAATCTTTGTGACCAGAGCCTTTTAAATCCAGAATTAAGGTTGGGGCATACAGCTGTCAGCGCCCACACTCCCTGCCCTGAGAAGGTGGAAGGTGTCTCTCTGCCTTCACTGGCCAGGCAAGGAAGCCCAGCTGGCTGAGTGCCCCTTGTGTCGTCATTTGGGAAATGGGCTGATCATAATGACAGCAGTCTCATCCAGTTACTGGCAAGATCACATGGATAACAAAGACTGCTCTAGCCAGTTAGGATACCTTGGGGCAGGGGTGGGATCTGATTCACAGATCTGAGGCCTGGCACCAGGAAGGGCCTCAGGAAGTGACAGGCAGTTCTCAGAGCTGCGCGCCTTCGTGAGTAGGCTTGACTGGGCCCTGTGCAAGGAGCCTTACTCAAGCAGATTCTTTCTGACTCCACAGGACACTAAGGGCAGCTTGGCTATTAATAGCCCCATGTCACGCTTCTCACATTCCTTCACTTACCAATCTAATAAATATTTGAATGTCCATGTGTCTGGCATTCTAGGTAAACAAGGCAGACACAACCCTACTGTTAGGGAGCTCAATGTCTAGTAGAGACGGACAATATACCCACATCCACCTCTCTCAACTTATTGTGTGCATGTACTGGACTCTTCCAACAGCCCTGAAAGTCGGGTACTGCTGTCATCATGCCTGTTTGGAGCTCTGAAAAGAAGCAGGGAAAGGAACCTGTTTATTACTTCACAGATCATAGCAATTTGGTTAAACGGGCTCTAAGACACAGGTTCCAAATTGTATCTTTGTTGTGGGACAGGAAACTGTCTTCTGGCTCCAGCTTGAGCTCCAACCTGTCTGGGTCAATATATGTACTTTAGAGCTGATTGTCTACCAAGGGAGGTAGGGGAAATGACGAATTTGGGGTTACTGGGGCTGGGGAGCCATGTCGGTTTTGTTTTGTTTGTTTTTGCCTGCATAAGAACTGCTAGCTTGGACTGATAAAGATGCATGGATTGCAGGTGGAGCTTCATGGTCGAGCACTTGCTTGGCATTCACCAGGCACTATGTTTGGTTATAAGCAGCGCCACAGAATAGCCAAGACTCCTAACCGAACCAGGACGTACTGCCTGCTCTGACTGAGCCTTGCAACATCTTTGGTTGGTCTGCCAATGTTTCTCTACCCTTCTAGGCATAGGGAAGCTAGACAATAGTTCTTCCCTCTCCCGCGGAGGAAGGGATAAAGGTGCAAAGCCAGGTAAAAGCTCTCTTTTTGGAAGTCGTGAGGGTCAGGAGCTTCGCCCCAGTGTTGCTGGGAGTGGAAGAAGGGCTATGAGGATCTCCAGCTACCGGTATCCCTTCCACCTACCTTTCACACGCCTATACTTGTTCCTCTTTTCGAAAAAGCGGCTACAATTCTTCCCCATTATCCTCTTAAGAGTGCAGAAGACATGAAAAATCGACGTTCGAACCATTTCCCAGGCCGAAAACACCAAGAGCGCAACTGTTGCTCTTGGTCCCACAGAGAATAACTAACCCGAGCAGGAACCTTATCTATTCCGACAGACCCGCATTGCGGACACTTCTCCCAAGACCGCACTGGGACAGCCGGTAGTCCTGACGTCTGCGTGGGACGTTCTACTCTCACATCACCCGTTCGAATAATGGATGGTCTCCGTCCCCCCGCGCAGGAATGCAGTGGGTCAGTCCACGGGCCGCCCCCCTCCCGTTGTGGAAGTGGGTCCGTCCACCCAGTCCCCCCCCCTCCCTGCCGCGTCCCCCGCAGGACCTGCGGACTTTCTTCCGAGCGGCTACCGGCTCACCTTTGATCTTGCCTTTTCGCCATCTCCTGCGGCTGCGGTTCTTCGACCCTTCTTTGGCCTGCTTGGAGGCCCGGGTCCCCACGCTCCCCGATTTCACGACTGTCTCCATCAGTTCTTTCCCAGTCCCGGCGCGGGGCCCAATTCCAGCAGTCGAGTCCCTCCTCTAAAGTCAATCCTCGTTACACACCACTGCCCGGCCCCCAAACCATCCAATCCTGGGCTTGCTCCTCTCTAGGCCCCGCCTCCAAGGGGTGGTCCCGAGGGCCTTGGCCCGCCCATCCGCTCAGGTTAAAGGAACCGCAGCCAACCACAGCAAAGACAACAAAATGCAACCCCGGAGGCGGCGAAAAGTGTCCACAGAGCTGGAGTAGTGAGGAGTGGCGCTAGAGTCACCCCCACAGTCACCCCGGTCGTCTCCTGTGCAGGAGCCGCGCCTCGCCATCCCATTCACCTGTCCAAGAACTCGGGCCCCCCCCACCTGCCCCCAGGAAAGGCGAGAACCAGCGGGCAGGGGGCGTGCCAGGCCCTCGGGCCGCCTACGGCGTGGGCGGGGCCCGACTGGGGGCGGGGCCGAGCTGGGTCGCCGTTAGGGAAGCCCCGCCTTTGTCCCGTTCCCTGACTGGGGTCCGTACTGTGTAGCTGAGGTTAGCCTGGCACCCACGGTGGAGCCTAGGCTGGCCTTGGTCTATCGGCAAAACGTCTGCTTCCGGTCAGACTTTCTCCCCCCCCCCCACACACATTCTCTGCCCCTACGAGTTCGTATTGCTCTGATTTTCGAGGTTTCTCTCCCCTTCCCTCAAAGGGATGGAGGGGACTGGAGGAAGGGGGCGTTCTGCGCCTGCCCAGCGGCTTGCGGCCACAGGGTCGACCAACTGAAAGGAGCCGAAATTGACGGAGCCCACGTGCCCGGGAAAAGGCGGGAAACCGAGGAGGCCAAGGCTCGCACGTGCGCTCGTGGCTCCCTGCGCTCTCCGCAGCCGCTTCTGGGTTAGCGCCGGCCTGAGGCGTCGGGAACGCAGGATTAAGTGTCCCCCTGCCCTGGGACGCAGAGCGCAGGGCGAGCACTGCTCAGCGCTCAGAAACAGCTCGTGCCTTTGTGGAGGCGGCCGGCTCCCGAGGGGAAAGCCCGCCACTGCCGGCTCTCAGGCCCGGGGCTCTGTGGTCTTACCTGTCATCGCTCCAGAGGAGCCGCGGGCAGTCACCTGCGATGCTGTTTCCATTCAGCCTTGACTTTGGCACAGACTTCGGCAGCCCTATCCAGCCCCCTCTCCCAAGCTTCTGTACGCCATCAAACAGTCATTCCGTGGCACTGAGCGCCGTGGAGGCACCTGGCCGGGGAGCGAGTGTTCCTGGTGCAGAGGCTGTGAGGGCCCCGGATGCTGAGCTTTTGTCTACACCACTCTGAAAGGTCAGGCCCACCCTGCGCGTTGTGCTGCTGTTGCTTAGCTTGATGTCTGCCCCACAGCTCGTACGCCACCATTTTATTTATTTATTTGGCTCATATGAATGAATGCTGGTAAGAGGGTGGTTTCTTTTACGAGACTCTTTAGTTAGTGCTCTTTCCTACCTCAGTTTGATTTCACCTAAATCTTTTTTGGGGAGGGGGAAAGCCTGGTGTAAAGGAAGGGAGCCCTATTTTCGGTCCCGTGTTTGCTGTTTCCAAACTGCAGGCCCTTGTGCCAAATCCTCATTTTTATGCCTCAGCATTCTTCTCTATAGACTGGGGAGTGCTGCTGTTTGTTTCACTGGATTGTTGAATTCTGAGTGCTATAACCCCAGACTGGAAAAAAAATATTCTTAGCACGAATAAGTGGCCCTGGAAAGCTCCAGTCTTCCAGGTTCAGACTCACCTGTGTCCCAGAAGTGTTTGTGAGGCTGGAGGCTGCTGGCTTTCATCCTATGTAGTGATTTCCCGCCATATCCGGGCACCTTCTCACAGTCAGGTTTCTCTTTGAAGGTTAGTGGCATTCCTGGGATCACCATTCCACTCTTTGGCTCTGGAAGATTTGACTGTGAAGATGAACTCCGATGTCCCTCTGTGTCAGACTCCGTAATCCAGTCAAAAAATGTCTTCCACTCTTGGGCTGTTCGCTGTATGGATAGTTCCTGCAGCCTTGTTAAAAAACCGGATTCCCTCACAGATCCCTGTTTGGATTTGGTTTCTTGGACCTCAGGTGTTTGCTGGGTTGTAGGATCTGATTGTTCAAGTCTCTCTTGGGATGGAGAGTAAATTTGGGCAGGGGATTTCTTTGGGGGTCCAGGTCCAGCCTGGGTTGTAGATGTAGCCTCCACTTCATGTGGAGCTGGAGGTGGTTCTGTTGGTCCAGCTCCTGTCATCCCCACATGCTCTTTTCTGGGTTGTGATTCCTGTGGAGTTGTAGACATTTTTCCTGCCTCTGGTCCCCAGTGGGAGGTGGCTTCCTGTTGATCCAAGAGCACTTTCTGGCTGGGAGGTGATTGCTGTGGTGCAGGGGAGGCTAGTGGGCTGAGGATCTTCTGGAGCAGAGCAGATTTTTGTGGAACTCTTGGTTTCTGCTGGAATTCAGCTTCATGCTGGGCAGTGGGCTCATGCGGGAGACTTGGTGTCTGTGGGGTACCAAATTCCTGCAGCATCTTTGATCCTAGATGGTCTGTGAGGGTTGTTTCTGACCCAGGATCTGGCTGGATTATAGGTCTCTGCTGTGTTTCAGGTTCCCATTCTGGCCTAGATACCGAGGTAGAATCTGGTTCCACAGTTGGTATTTCCCTCGTGAAAGAAGTTGGTCTCCTAGGCTTCATCCTTCTGCCCCTACCCCTACCCCTCAAGCTTCCCTCTTCACAGATCCTTCATGATGGTACCTCCCTTTGGGCTCCAATCCTTTGTCCTGGCATTCCTGGTCTTCCTTTATAGCTAGCCTGTGGGTTTATCACCGCCTCCCCCACCCCCCTCGCTTGCTCCTTGCCAAGTGGTCACTCTTACTTTGGGAGAGGGATTAGGACTAAGGAGGGGGCTCATGTGCCCAGTACTATCTTTCAAGAAGGGAGGGGCTTGCCCTCTTGTGTCATAAATAGGGCCCCACCCCACTCACCACTCAGTTAAAATGACCAATTACCCTTTTCATAAGACAACTTAATCTTCTGTTTCATCTGGGTGATTCTAGATGAGCTGATGAGTGTTCTCTGCCCACAGAGATGGGAATCTCATGTAGCCCAGGTTGGCCTCGAGCTCCTGAGCTTCTTGTCTCCATTTCCCAAGTTCCGTGACCACAAGTGGGTACCACCATAGTTCAGTATTTATCCCACTCCTGATGCCAGAAGAATACTTGAGGAGTCTGTGTACTTATAGTTTCCTCTTCATTAATTCTTACAACTAGTTGTCAGTTCAATTGTCTTAGATTGTTGCTTTGATCACTTTATACCCATGCTAAAAAGTAAAAAGACTGATGTCATTCTATTTTTATAGGCTCAAAACCCTTTTGAATTGCAGCTGAGATCCTTCATACCATCTTTATAGCTTTGAACTGTGTTTCTACATTTATATCTCTTGTATTGCATTAGAAACCCACAGAATGAAGTAATGGGGATGATGATGATGATAGGAATCATAAACACTGATTGATGTCTGTCTAGGTGCTAAGAAAGCACAGTTTCTAAACCTTTATCATTGTTAATCAGGCAGTATCTGATTCAGTGCTTTACTTGCTTTCTATGCCACACTCAGACATTGCACCTTAGAACGGTGAAAGAATAAAGAATCAGGCAATGGAGAGAGAAAGAGGGTCAAGGAGGCAGAAATGCGTGTAGAATCTGGGTTAGGGTTTTGAATGACCAGGGCAAAGGGTGACATCTGGATTGAATGTGAGTGGTCAGACCCCATTAGATTGAATTAACTGATATTCATATACCATATATTCACATATATATGCATTATGTATGCATTTAATTATTTTCTTTGCTAATTTTCCTATGGTCAAGTGAGACCAATAGGAAGCTGAGGTTTCCTTGATTCTTTTAGGGTGAACAGAGGCGTAAGTGTTATGGTGTCGAAAACCAGGAGCTAAACACCAAGATATTTATTGCAGGGTAAAATTTATTCATGGCTGGGCCTAACTTATAGCCCCGTCCTTAGGAGTAGGAGAATGTAAGTGGCCCTCAGCTGCAGCAGAGAGAATCTTTCATAGGTTCTTCATTACTTCTGCAAGCAAGCAAAGCTTAAACAAAAGCAGAACTTTTTGCTATTAACATTTAGCACTAACATATTGTCAAAGTTTTTGACATTTTGATTGGCCAGTTTCAGAAAGCCTGTCTAATATACCAGGTTTTTCAGAAGGTCTTTGTGGTGTGTTGGTTTGAAAAAAACAGTCTACTCAATAGGAACATGAAACTTATTTCACCTAAGAAATAAAAGTACCAACATAAGATTCTGGGAACAGGTTTGGGAGCTGAATAACAAGAGGAACGGAGGCTCTGTCATTTTTAAATTATTTAACCCATACTGAAATCAGTAGTGATGAGAGAAGATGACAATAGAGGGCACAGTAACCAATATGCTGGGCAGTGCCTTCTGAGAGCACTGGGATGCTGTTGGTGAGGATGGGGTGGGGAGTGCAAGAACGCGCTCTAGGGTTGATCACTTCTTTTCCACTGAGAGTGTTCACTTGAGAGAGTAGAGTATCAGAACTATAAGGGCAGAGAGAAACTTGCTAGTTGACATCGTTTGAGAAATTGCTGACAGGTTCTGGAGGGCCTCTTTGGCTTCCGGTGGTGCTTTTGGTGTCCTAGGGCACAAACAAAAGGATACTGTCATAAAAAACTTAAAAATACTTTGTTTTATTTTTATTTGTGTGTGTGTGTGTGTGTATGTGTGTGTGTATGTGTGTGTGTATGTGTGTGTGTGTGTGTGTGCTGTGGGGGTTGGAATAGAATTTCAGAACCCCTGGAGCTGGAGTTCTAGGTAGTTGGGAGCCACCTGACATTTGTGCTGGGAACCAAACTCTGGTCCTCTGATTTATTTCAAGACAGGGTTTCTCTGGGTAGCTCTGGCTGTCTTGGAACTTGCTCTGTAGACCAGGCTGGCCTTGAACTCACAGTCTGTCCCTGCCTCTTGAGTGCTGGGATTAAAGGTGTGTGCCATCATTGCCTGGCTACTCTGGTCCTCTGAAAGAGCAGTGAATGCTCTAAATGGCTGCTTTTTCTCTCCAGCTCTTTAAAAAAACATTTCAAAGTTTATATGTAAACTTTTGAAATTATGAGATGCAGCTGGCTGTGGCAGTGTGTGCCTACAATCGCAGCACTCAGGAGGCAGAAGCAGTATGATCTTTTAAGTCTGAGGTTACCTAAGCTACAAAGTGAGTTCCAAGTCAACTTAGGCTAGAATGGAAATCTATCTCAAAAAGCCAAACGAACTGGGCGGTGATGGCACACACTTGGAAGGCAGAGACAGGTGGATCTATGTGAGTTCAAGGCCAGCCTGGTCTACAAAGTAAGTTCCAGAACAGCCAGGGCTACACAGGGAAACCCTGTCTCAAAAACCAAATAAAAGTTGGGGTGGGGTGGGGCAGAATGGACAAATCAGAATAAAAAAAATCAAACAGGGGTGGAAGAAATGGCTCACCAGGTAAGGCATTTGCCAAATTTTATGACCTGAGTTCAGTCCCAGGGACTAATATGGTGGAAGGAGAGAACTGAATCCCAACTCTCTTCTCTGACCTCCACACATGTGATACTAACATAAACACACACGCAGTAAAATGAAATATAATACTTTAAAAACATGTTTTATTTTGTGTGTGTGTGTGTGTGTGTGTGTGTGTGTGTGCACATATCTGTAGAGTTGCATTCATGCCATAGTGGAAATTTGGAAGTCAGAGGGCAGCTTGCAGCAGTCTGTTCTCTCCTTTTTATCATGTGGGTGTCAGGGATTGAACTCAGGTTGTCAGATTTGACTGCAAGCACCTTCTGAGCCATCTTTCTGGCCCTTTATTTACTTTTTTTGTATAATAACATTTTAAAAAAGACTGTGGGGATGGAAAGATGGCACAGCAATTAAGAGCATGAGTTTCCCCTATAGAGGCCTCAGGTTCAGTTCCCAGAACCCACATGATGTCTCAGGAAATCTAATTCCCTCTTCTGGTCTTCAAGGGCACTGCATTGAGATTAAATACATGCAGGCAAGGTACCCACACACATAAAATGAAAACAAACAAACAAACAGAAAAACCAACTGCCAGATGAAAGAAAAGCCAAAATCCTGTTCCACACTGACACTGGTGTCATCTTCAGAAATCAATGGGCAGGTCACAGCCTCTCTATCTCCCTTTACTTTGATAAATGACACGTTCTAAATCTAAGATTTTGGTTGAATCTCTTTAGTTTCAGAATAAGTCTATCCTAATGCTTTTGTTCTTTCTGTTTTCCTAAAGTTGGCATTGAATAGAAAGGGGCTGGTTGATGCATGTGTTTATTTTGTCTTCTCGGCCTTGCCTCCATCCTTAGTGAGTTCATAGAACTGAGTGTGGTATAAGGCCATCCTCTTGAAACTTACTGTTTTTTTTCTTGCTGTCCTTGACATGATCACAGGGACACTGCTTCTTTGGTGATTCCAGCACTGGTGTGGATTTTCTCTTCGGGGCTCTCAGGAACCAATCTGTAAACAATAGGCTACTTCTTAGATGGGAAAGTTGGTATGTTTAGAGTACGGACTTGGCTGGGGAAAAGGGTCAACGGAGAACAATGGAGACCTCAAGCTGTGTGAACCCCTGGGTTTCTAAGTTGTTTTCATGTGACCTCTGTGGGCAGGGATTTGCGGACATGTTTAGAGGAGGCCTTGGGATATCCCTGTGGAGAGTGAAGAATGAAAAATTGGGCCCAGGTGTCTTTTTAGGCTGACATTTCTTCTGCTTTCAATCCTTTCTATAAGGAACATCAGCCTAAGACAGAATACAAGATGTTTTTGGGGAGCCAGGAGAAAGTAAAACCCTTTGGGAAGGTACAGGAAATTTGGGGGGAAGCGTTGGTGGGGGGCACAAAGATCCTGGTAGGAATCTAGTTCCTGAGTCCTGCTCACGGAGAAAGCAGGTGTTAGTGCCACCTCTGGTGGGATGCTGAGGCTAGCTCAGACATCTGTCTTGGCCTCAGAGGGGCTTATGGGAGATGAAGGTTTTGGGTCACTATAGTGCCAACTCTGTGGTCAAGGCTGAATTACTGACCTCTGCATTCACACTCTTGGCTGCCTTCCTGGAGCCACCTCCCAGAAACCTGGCGTTGGTCCCCATGGCTTTTGGCGACCCCTGTTGGAGGCATATGCGGTTACTTTCAGATACTGGAAAAGGACAGCTCTCTGTGACCCTATCCTCCAGAGTTGCTCTACTTGGGTACTTAGATCAGCACAAGCTCTGTTTCTCTGTGTCTCTGTCTGTCTGTCCCACCTTCCATTGATGGGCTCTAGGGTACTCCAAAAGAGGAATACTGTAAATGGATAAGGAACGGAGACTTAAAAATCTAGCCTAAAGGCTGGAGAGATAGCCCAGTGGTTAAAAGCAAATTCTGCTCTTGCAGAGAGAACCCAAATTTGATTCCTAGTACCTACATGGTGGCTTGCAATCGTCTATAACTGTAGTTCCAGGGGATCCAGTGTCCTCTTCCGACCTACACAGGCACTCATGTACAAAGCAAAAATAAATAAATCTTAAAAGAAAAATGATTTGGGATTCCCCTCTGTATGTTATGAATATGTTTTATTACCATTGGTAAATAAAGAATCTGCTTTGGCTTATGGCAGGGCAGAATATAACTAGGCT